AGGGCCTTTACTAATACAAAAGGGGTGATAAGCTACAATGACCCGTGATTACAATAACAAAGCACACAGAACCCTGGCAGAGACAGATCTGGCTGCCTTTTTGTAACTTTTTCTCACAAAAAAAATATTGACCGAATTTTTGTTCATAACACCTGTTGGTCACTACAGAGGAAATGGATGTGAGCAGTTAGTATGTACTCTCAAGTTAATGTACAACTGTGAAGAAATGAAGGATATAAATGAAAATAAATATTATCAAGTAGAACAGAAGGATATTCAGGGCTCTTAGTCTTGGGAAAACAGGTGAGCTGAGAAAGGAAATGAAGAACTAATTTTCAAAACTAGTATAGTCATATAAGTCTGGAAAAGCATGGGCATTCTCATTCTGCAGAATAAGCAGGGATATGCAATTGGGATGGACACCATGTTAGGCATAAAGCTGCCATGTCCATGCTTTCTCACCACAGTGCAATTGTCACACCACCCCTTCTGCAGCTGTTTCATCATCTGTCTCTCTCTTCAGGGTCACTTGCTTTTTTCTCCTAGGACTTTATTGAAGAGCAGAAATTATAGTCTGATGGAAAATGAGGTAAGGACAACCAAAGGAGTGGGAAAAGTTATTATGTCTGTGGTGAAGGTGACTATGAAGAAGAGGGAGACTAGTAAGTGGAAGGACAAAGAGGAGGGAAGGATAAGGAGAGGACAGAAGAGGTAGGTAATAAAATAACCACTTTTGGCCCAGCACACCATTCCAAAAAGAAAATTGCAGACCTACACAGACATCATACTCCACTTAATGAAATCAATAAATATATAACATCAGGTCTCTGGAACTTCTGGCAAAGGATTTAAATTTTATTTCAGTACTTTTCTGTTTTTGGCCTTACAATGCTCTACTAGAGCCTTGTGGTTGTTTACAGCCACTTGAGGATTAAAGACTGAAATTAATTACAGACTTTTGAACAAAAGGCTAGAACCTAGAGCCAGTAAATGTATTTTGGCATTTAATTCCATTTATTTTAGGGGAAGTAAGATTCCTAAATGCTCCCTCTGGCATGACCTGGATGTGTTACAGAAAGTACAGTTACAAAGGAGGCCCTAAGACTCTGCTAATTTATGCCACTTGACAATTCTCATCACACAGGTAGGAAAAATCCACTGTGTCAGTACAACAGGACAGTAAATGCAGTTCATCTTAATAAAGGATATTTTGCTTGTACTTAATGAGATGCACTCAGATATACTATTCACCCAATGGTCAGGTTAAAAAATTAAACTGAGATATATTTTAGTTGTTTTCTAATGCTTGAAATTAATTAGTCAGGTGTTAAATATGTTGAGGCAGCCAGATGAATCATATTGCACACAAATTTTTTTCCATGTAACTGGCAGCCTTTTATATAACTGAAGTATTAGACATTTTGTAAGTATATGTATATGTTTGTAATTTTGAATGTTTTGTACAATTCTTTCATTTTCCTTTACTGACTTCTGAATCATAAAAATTGAGTTTCAGTTCATGTGATCTTTGCTGACTAAATCACATAAATTTTAACAGAGAAAGTGTTTTATATATAGAGAGAGGTCTATTCACTAGATGTTTTAAGAAAAAAATACTGTACAAATACAGTATTTTTTGGGGTTTTGTTTGTTTGTGGTTTCTTTTGTCTCTTTTGTTTTTAGGGAACGTTTTCATATATATTGAACCTGACAATTTTTAAAGAACAATATCTTTTTGAAGAAGGCTGCTATATAGAAAACATCACTGCAAAATCCATCTTTTATGAATTCTCTGCTTTGACATTCACCACTACTTGTTAAACTTTGCTGATAAAAATATTAAAAGAGTGGACAAGTCACACGGCAGTTAAAAATTACATGGAACAGTTTACAGTTGTCTTCTAAGTTTCCCATTTCCATTGATGGCAATTTATGTAACAGAAACCTAGGTTAAAATTAATTCCTCATGCTGTTTGGGGAGTAATAACTCACAGAAATTCTTTGCTGTTTCTCTCTTCCACACTCAGATATTTTTGTGTAGATTTCAGTAACATAACATAACAACATAACATAACATAACATAACATAACATAACATAACATAACATAACATAACATAACATAACATAACATAACATAACATAACATTAGCATAGCACAGCATAACATAACATAACATAACATAACACAACACAACATAACATAACCTAACCACAGCAGTGATAAAATAAGCTTGATTTAACCCCACTTAAAAATAACCTGTCCTCATCCTTTTATTTTCTGCAATACATACCATTATTTTCCAGATGGAATATCCCATAGCGAACAACACAAGACAGACAAAAGATACAGATACAGAATGAGAACTAGTTTGAGTACAAATACAGCATTTCTAATGACACTGTTGTGTGAGGTCAATGCTTTGTTCATCTACAGTACGAGATGTTGTTTTACAGAAAGGGAAAGACAGTTTTACACATGTCAAGCGATCATAGAAAATTGTGAGTGCTCTGCAGCAGTTTGACAGTGCAGGGGAAGAGAGGCAAAGGCAGAAGTTTAAAAGCTACCAGTGCAGCAAATACAACAGAACAAAGATTGAGGGCAGACTTTAAATGTAAGTCTAGATTTCTTTCTCTTAAAAATGTTCTTGAAAGTAGTTCTAAAAATAGCAGATTCATTAAGAAATAACTAACTCTCTAATGTAGATAGCTTCATATGGGAAAAGTGATAGAGTAGCCCATTCTCTGGCCAATGTAAAATCATTAGAAGGTGCTCATATTTTCCAAAATCTCAGTCAAAAATGTTTTCAGTTGCAAAATAAAAGCCCTGGTATGAACATCACATTAGTCTTCAACCAGAAAACTCAAAATCAACATGCCTTAAAATAACATTAACTTAAAGTTTATACATGCAGCGTGAAATTTAAATTATTTTTCTTGTATTTTCCATAATAAAGATTTTTTTTTTTTTTCAGAAAATGTATGTTGGGTTTTCTCATTTAAACAGTGCTTCTGAGGATCCTGAGACTCTGAGCAGCACCTGTTAGTGCTGGGAATTTTCTGCTGACTTGCACCTCAAACTAAGTTAAGAATTACTGTAATAGGTGTCTATGCAATAAAGAATAAGAATCTCTAAATTCTATTACCAGTTGAAAAAAGAGTCTTGCTTAGATCTCTTATTGAGAATTGATCCGATCACAAGACACTGCTTTAGATCACAAGGCATTGATTTTGTTTAGACTGCAACAGCGAAGGAATGTGCTTTTTCAGTGTATTAAAGCTAAGCACAATATAGTGAAAGTGTAATTACATTTGCTAAGAGATCTTCTGTGCCATGCATTTTGACTGTAAAATACAGGCTAATCATTCAGATGTTAGGGCCACTAATTGATGTACAAAAGAAGTAGAGGCAATTAATTAATTGTGTTGATTTGGCATAGCCTCATTTTTTTGGTAGCGGCAAAGTGGGGCTACAGGGGTGGCTTCTGTGAGAAGCCGCCAGAACATCCCACCATGTCCAGCGGAGCCAGTCTCTGATGGCTTTGAAGATAAATGGATGGATGTGCTATGGGCCCAGTTAGAGAGGCTGGTAACACGTCTGTGATAACATAAGAAAATCAAAGCTGTGCAGGTGCAGCTTTTGTCCAGGTGTGGCGAGGCGCCTCTGGTGGGGACCATCCCCAGTGCAGCACATGGCAATGCACTGCTGCAGCCGCTGCCATCTTGGTGCAGCCCATGGCTTCCCCTTGCTGCCCCTGCCCCGGCCAGCCGTGCTGCAGCAGAGAGGGCAGGGGCAGCAGCAGCTTCCCCTTCCAGCACCCGCAGGAGGCAAGGCGTCAAACNAGCAGAGAGGGCAGGGGCAGCAGCAGCTTCCCCTTCCAGCACCCGCAGGAGGCAAGGCGTCAAACGGCGCCCGCGGCAGCCACCACTGCTCACGTGGTGCTGGCCCTGGCCCATGGCTGATGGCACAAACACGGTGAACAGCACCCAGCCTAGATGAGATCAACTTCCCAGCGCTGTGGGATCCTGCAGGAATCTGAATTTGTGGAACTTGTTGGCAATGGTACCTATGAGCAGCAGTTTTTCTTCTAGATAGAGGAGGTGAGAACATGTGAGGGAAAAGAACATGGCAGCACCAAGGTCAGTGGAGCAGGAGCGGGAGGAGGTGCTCCAGGCGCTGGAGCCAAGATTCCCCTGCAAGTGAGAACCATGGTGAAACAGGCTGTTCCCCTGTAATGCATGAAGTGCATGAGGGAAAAGTAGGAAGAGTGCTCATGCTGAAGCAGGTGAATGCCGGAGGGGCGCTGTGATCCAGTTGAAGACCTGAATGGAGGGAGAGGGCCCCTGCTTCCAGAGGTGGAGACAGAGAGCCCTTGCTTTCAAAGCAGAGCAGCCTATCCTTAGAGGACTGCACCACACCAGTGTGGGTCACCAGTGACCCACAGCACGCCAGTTTTTGGGAAGACTGTTTGCCTATGGGAGGGATCCCACGGCATGGCAGAGAAAAGACTCTTTCTGAGTGAACAGAAGGTGATCTCCAGTGATGAACTAACCAAATCCCCATGTCCTGCCTCCCTCCACTGTCACTGGGAAGAAGGGAGAGGCTGGGGGGAAAAGGGTGTTTTAAAGGCTTGTTTTACTTCTCATTATCCTCCTCTTTCTCTGTTAATAATAAATATACTTTATACCTTTAAATTTGAACCTGTTTTGCCCTCAGAGTGTTTTTCTCCCAATCCTTAACTCATGAGCCGTTTGTTTATTTTTATTTCCCTATCCTCTGCCCAACTGTAGCCAGAGAAAGTAAACGAATAACTCTCATGGATGCCTGGTGTTTGGCCAGTGTCAAACCATGACATTACTTAATTCCCTTCAATTTGTTTTTAATTTTTTTACCCAAGATCCAGTACTATTTAGTCCAGTAAAATTTTTTTTTTGAATGTATCTACCATTTAAGCAATATTTTACTTAAGAAATTCAAAGACAATTCTTTCACATTGGCTAAAATACAGTTCTACATCATCTATGCTAATACAGATTAGGTAATAAAAGAACAAAAATTCATTTTTTGGTCAGCTGAAGAAAGCAAGCAGAACAAGTAAGGAGTTTTTTGTTTCGTAGGGACTTTGTAGGGACTTTGTTTGGTTGGGTTTTTTTGTAATTATAAGTAATCTGATATCTTGGCTGATTTAAAAAAAAGAAACTTTAGAACACAGGAAAGCAGGTTTTATGATTACAATAAACACCCTCAATTCTGTTCCAAATCTGATGCCTGTACAGTATTCATTCATGCATCACTTTTAGAAAATGCCTTAAGAAATAGCACTCTTAGGTTGTGGCATTATTGCAGATTTAAAAGAGATACAATAGTGGTTTTGGTCCTTCAGCTTCATTAAAAAAGTGAAAGCTCATTATTTAATTAGAAATAATTTCTAGTATTTATTTGCTGGAAAAATATGTATCAATGGTTTATTACTTCTCCTAGCTTCAGTTCAAGAAGGACTGCAGCACTAAGGTAGACAGATCACCATTACTTTCATTGCTCCGTCTTTCAGCACTGGTAGTTGTTTTTCTTTCTAAACCATTCTTCTCCTTGATCAACTGCTAAGTGGGATTAAATTGCTTCCACCACTGCCTCCACCAATGATACTACACTGAGCCATGCAGAAGAAAATTGCAGAGGCCACAGAGATCCAGAAAAGGACAATGATGAACACTCAGGATCACCTACTGTAACCATATTACACATGTCACTAATGTATTTTGTAACTTTAGAGGAGAAAAAGACCTTATGGAAGGAATGCACAAAAAATTAGCATTCTCAGCAAATCAAATAAACAGAGCAGTTCAAATATTCAATTAATATGGTATGAAGCGGCTGTAAGATTCTTTGTTGAGTTCATGGAACCCTGAGCTTCACTGAAGTTTTGTTGTTCTAAAATACTCAGGAGGATGCAAGTCTTGCAAAGTTAAGATGGTAAATATATGTTTTTAGGGTTCTCCTTATTTGTAATAATCCTACCCTGTTGCTTGTTAACTTCAGTTGCTAAACAATCTTTATTGGAAAAACTGCTGGTATATCCATGTGCTAGTAGTTTCAAAAATGTATATTAACTAATTTCAATTTGATAGTTAAAAATAGTATCTTATTGAATTCTTGATGAAATTTGGTCCTGGCATAAGGGTTCAGCTCTAAAAATCTTCCACTTCAAATTACTTTTATTTTTTAAATAACTGAGGTGTTTCTCCCCAGTGTTCATGTGGCATTTTCCAGGCAAAAGAATTTAACAAGTGAAATGATAGTAAAAGAAGAAGGTGACATTAAGGCATGTTTAGGCCAAAACACAATACAGAATTGTCACAAGAGTATGTAGGGTAATTAAAGATTCAGTGTCGACTCCATATAGAACAGTAGTTTGTTAAAGAAAGAAAGAAATTTCATGACAACAGTTTATCCACTCATGCAGAATCAAAGCCTCCCCATGCAAATAATTCTTTAATGAGCTAAATAAAGTGAGACTTTGAAGGTGTATATGCTATATCATAAAATTTGGCATGAAGCCTTGGCTCCGGTAGCAGAATCTGTGCTCTCTTTTCTCTGCAGATTTAGTTTTCAAAACAAAAACACCCTGTAGGGAAAAAAAGAGAAGCTTTTCCAATCCTAAAGCGCAGACACACCTCAGACCCAGAGCACTGTGATGGCAAGAGGATCTGGAGGAAGACAGCTGTGGGTACCCTGTGCAAACAGGGCTCCTGTGCTGCAGCAGTGGCAGCAGGGTCCCAGCAGGGCTGACCGGTGCTGCCGCAGTCAGGCCTCCAGCCTTGCAGGGTAGGGAAAGCAACAGGAATATGCTGCCTGCTCCTGAGCCAGGCTGTACGGCTTGCACTTTGGCCCTGGCGAAGGCGTGGGCTGCAGCACAGCACCCAAGTGACATTTACTCTCCTTGTTGGCCAACAGGCAGTGGCAGAGGCGTGAAACAGCTCGAGGGAAGGCTGATGTCCCACACCTGCTCTGCTGCAGCCACACCATGCAATTTCTAACTTGCTCATTTCTAAATCTATAAAATCCGTTCCTGGAGCATGGACATTCCTAACACAGTCTAGATACTGCATATTTCCGATTTATGGTGGATTTTGTACAAATCATACACCTCAGGAAAAAAAATGGAATAATGCAATAAAAATGCGTATTTAAACAACTAAAAATGGATTTCAGTGGAAAAGTGGAAATTCCTTGCCTTGGGAATATGGTAATACGGGAGTTGGCCATTTGCCATTGGTACAGCTCTTCTTTCCCCCATTATGATGGCCTGCCTTAGTTTTGCTGGAAATTTGCTGGAAATTTATTAGTATTAATAATACTAATAAACTAAATGACAAAGCGATAAAGTCTCATGGAATTGGGCTAAGATGTATTATTGTTATTTTTGCTGCTTTTGTTGTTGTTGTTGTTATACTGGATAGTACAGGTAGTCTTTCTCATTGTGATAAATACAGATGGGAGAACAGATCCAGTTCTGCAAGCATGTTAATGGCAGTTTCTCCACCGGTCATATTCCTAACATACAAGCAAACACATCTTTTCTCCTCTCTCTCCTCAAGGCCATGCTAGGCAGTCCCACCAGCTCCTGGGCACAGCCCTCATTGTACTCAAAAATTGGTGTTTGGAGTTGAAATAAAGCACTCTGACACCAGCTCGGGACAAGGGAGCCTTTTAAGGGGAACAGTGAAGGGAGACATGGATAAAGCTCCTTCCATGGTATGTACTAAGTATAAAGCTGACATGGTGAAACTTCGCAACTCCCATCAAATGTTGAGTGCACATCCACCCATGTGACATGGCTGGACATAGCTTTTGTCCCCATATAGGGTACATAAGTAGTCTCTTGATGGGTATATACATCCCCCACACGCACAGCAGGCAACCAGGAGGGCACGATGCTGTGTGATGCTAACAGTGACTATCCACAACGTTCTGCCATGAGGAGAGGAGCAGTCTGGACACCTCTGTCATTGCACTGAAGTGCTGCCATGGTTCGACCAAAGTGTGTGGGAAGGAGGCCCATGGAGGCCAGGCCCTAATATAGTATGATCAAATGGCTTGTGTAGGGAGGGATCTTAAAGATTATCTACATCCAACTCCCCTGCTGTGGGTAGAGATGCCACCCACTGGATCAGGTTGCTCAAAGGCCCCATTCAGCCTGGCCTGTGGGCACCCTCATACCACTCACAGACATGCACAGGATTTATCTGCTTCAATGTTCTTACATCTGCAAGAAAATGGTCACAGAGGGGCACTCTGTTTCTTCATCCTCAGCAGACCTCAAAACACAGAGAGGCTGCAGGTAGCAATATTGTAAAGAGGGGAATTGGTCTATTGGAAAATATGTGAAGAGAATGGAATAGAAGAGGTCCACCTCTGCTGCAAGAGAAACTAGGGAAAGTGTGAGAGATCAGCTGAAGGCACCTTTGGATTTAGAGATTTCTGTGCCAAAGGTATACTTTAAATTTAAGATTTGCCTGTGACTTTTTCTTTCCCTTAGACAATTCATTGCTTTGGTCAGGCTACAGCTATATTGCTTGGGCGTAACACAATTCTTCAAATAAACATATCATAAATGTCATAAAAGAATTTGTAGTAGAAAGGTGGAGGGAAGCCTAAGTACCCAATGCCGGAAGTTGCTCGGCAGAACTGTATACACCCAGCACTTTGTACAAAACCCGGCCCATAAAAACTCTTTCTTATGGGAGATCCACCTGTTCTGGCTCTCTGTGGCATCTAGAATGTTAGCAGAACTATTGATCAGGACAAACTGCTGCTTCTAATGCCATTAAGCAGAAGACTTTGGCATGGCAGCAGCAAGTATTTAAGTACTAGAACATCTGCTCTTTCATGGAACAAGTTATTTTCATTATGAAGGCATTCATAGTAGGTCACAGGACCTATTAAAAATCAAAGACATGTCAGTAGTATAACTTTCAAACAGCTTTGTAACTGACACGTGCCTGTATCTGTGTGATCAAGATGGGACTTTTACACTCTGCTAACAGAGGTAGGTTGGTTTTTTCCTTAAGCATAAAATTAAAATGTTTTACAGTTCCAGGAAATTTAATGTAAATAGTTTTGGGTGTTACCAAAATCTCTCTCTCAATCTTGTTTTCAGAGTGAAAGGATAATCTTGTTAGTTCGCTAATCTAGGATTTAGAAGCTCTGAATTCTATCCCAGTCTGCCATGGACCATGGGTAGCAGGAGTGCAGCAATCCCTCTAGCCTTGGATGGTACACCGCCTAGGAGAGGGAACCTCCCTTATTTAGAACTTGCAGCACTTGGTATGCCATTTTAATACAAATCATAGGTGCTGCAGTGTGGGAGGAACCCGTCACGGTCACTGAACTGTTGTTGGTGTGTCAATATCTGCTAAGCTGCTGCAGGAAATGTGGCTGGCAGATGCCGCCGGGTCACCCAGCACAGGGCTGCAGCGGGGCTCGGTCTGTAGGGCTCTCTGGTGGCAGTGACCAGCGGAGCATGACTGGCAGCACGGGCACCAAAACAGCTGAACCTTCTGCTTCAGACATCTGAGCAGCGAGTCCTCCACACTGCTGGCCAGCAGCAGAGCTGCCATGCTGCTCCTCTCCTCTCCTTGCTGCTGAAGGCCCCAGGCAAACCACAAACTGCTTAGACCTGGCAGGGGATCAAGAAGAGATAAATCATTTTAAAACGTAGTTCAGCTTGATAAACCAGATAAGCTTCTACTCTTGCAGACTCGTGACATGTGAACACTATGGTAATAGCTTACCTGAAGAACAGCATGTGTGTTTTCTTTAGGCATTCAAAATGCCCAGGGTCGGCACAGCTGCTGCGTGGACTTTGGCATGCCACCTGCCTCACAAAAGCTTCCGATGCTGCGCTTCATTGCTCAGGGGTGGTGAAGGGCACAATATGCTTTATGTTTGGTTGTTTTCTTCCCTGTAAGTCAGCCTCAGGCCTTTGAGAAACATTTTGCCAATTTAGTCTGCCAATAAGAACAGGTGGTTACACAGCTTCCTCCAAAAAGTGCAAAAAGCCACATACCCAAGGACAGGTGAAGGGAATAAATGAAAGTATATGGGGACAAATTCAAGGTCAGGAGCAGCCCAGGTGAATGGCTTTGTTGTCAGCACAGCACAACCCAAGGCCTCATTACTGAAGGTACAAATGAAGACAAATCCAAACATGGAAAGCACGATTCAATGGGAAACAGCCTGCAGCATGACTGGAGCGTGATTCTCTCTAATAGAGAGAATTTATAATTTTTTTTCTGCAATGTGGACTTAAACATGAGTGCCAACATATAGAAATGATTCTCCAAAGTACCAGTCTGAGCCATTTGCAAATGACACAGGTTTACCTTCTCCCACCCTCTCCAGGTTTTTCTCTCCAGTAAAGCACATCCGTATTTGCTGTTCACACAATCCTCTCTGTTCTCCCTCCTTTTTCCCTTCTGTCTCTTCTAGTTATGCTTCATATGAGTTTTACTGTCAAAGACAAATAGCACTTGGAATGAAGTAGTCATTATTAGATATTCTGCATGTAAATTTGAAATATCCAAAAAACCAGATGAACTGTCCTTTTCTCTGACCCAGCCATCTGCAGACTTGCTGTGTTAGATTCTCCATCCTCTGATGCCAGTTGTTACCCTGCTCTGCAGAACACAATTGAAAATGAGCAGAGTATGCTATGGGACATTCAGAAGAGCTTTTCTTTCAGTTTTGCAGTATCAGATCATTGTTACTTCTGTGTAAGCCAATTAGAGTAAACATGCTTTATTCTGCTATTTCATTCGTACACATTTATGGGTATTCTATCCCCAGTTCACCTACTAAATTTCTCTTCAAGGAAAATCAGGATGATAGCCATCTCTCTGCCAGGATGCAAAACAACGTCATATGATCTCATTTAGCCTGCTTGTTTTACAGCTGCAGAGGACTCTTGAGTTTTTTGGGACATGGAACATCAGGCTCCACAGCTGTCTGTTCAGAGGCAGAGGAGATTATAAAGAATCTGTTTTCCCGGGTTTCTCTTCCTAGAAATTGTCTTTAAAGCACAATGATAGAGAGAAGTGAATGAGATACCTCTTCTGCTTTATTCCAACTCCTATGGAGCTGGAATATTTGTCAGACAGACACATTGCAAATGACAAGGCAATTTGTAGCTAATGTGCAACCACACAGAAAACACAAGAGAAACTTGATGGGCCTTTAACCCCAGGTATGAGGACACCTAAAATAATCATAAGCCAAATGAGGACAAGAGGATGGCACAAGAGGTCTCACACTGTTGCCTTTGTGTAAACACTCTATCAGACTCTGATACTCAATAACATGGTTTGTTTGTGTAAGTAGAGGGATTGAAGGAAAACAAAGAAACACTAAGGTTCATAGAGTCCAACTGTGAACCCAGCCTCACCATGTCTACCACCCCAATACAGGGACTCATTGTGATTTACTAACCATGACAATTTTCAGTAAAATAACAGCAGCACTATGAATGTCATTGTCAACAATTCTTTTTCCTCCCCCCACTCTCAAGTTTGCTAGCTATGAAAAACCTTTTTTCTAAAAAGCAGCTTTTCCTTTCCTTTTCTTTTTCTCTTCCCTTTCCCTTCTTCAGGGAGACCCATTACTTGGAATTTTTTCTTTTGCTAGCACATTAAGGCCCTTGCCAAGTACAGAACAGTATAACTTACAAGTATATATGTCTATGAACTTAAATTAGTCTTTCCTTGCTTGAAATCAGGGAAGATAAAACATGCCCAAATATTAACTCTCATTTACTTCAGGTATGTAAAATTAGAAAACTGATCCTGTGTCATAAAAGCTATGTCAAGAATAAAAGGAAGTAACTAAAACAAATGCAAATATTTAAGGTACTATATTTGGACAAAAATAAATTAAGTGCCGTGATCTGCAAAATGTATGATCAGCCAGTTCCTCCTTAGATATTAAGGTATTAGATATATATTAGTATCTCTGATGTCCCTATTGTTCTTATTTAAGTAAACAGAATAGGTATAATCTCTCTGTAAACAGCAGATTTGCTCAAAAGTGAAATTTAGTATGAATTGCAGAATTAAATAAACTTTATTTAGATAAAATAAAAAGAAATGTATTAGGTGACATTTTCTTTTAAAATGTACCAATACTAATACCAAGAAAAAAAATCTGGCTATTAATACTTCCAGGATCACTGAAAAGGAATTTGTACTTCAGAATCTTTAAGTTTCTTATTGAATTATGATGTAATTTAAAACACCTTGTGGAGGAACCTGTCTGTAAAACCAAAAAACACTCTCTCTTGAAGTTAGTTGTTGAAGTGCACTGTTGAAGGTCTTTTGTTGGAGCTGATTTTGAGTTCTGAAGCTCACTGAGGCAAAAATTAAAACACCTTATGATTTTCTCTTGCTCACCACTCCACTCAGATCAGTTCAGAACTTTCACTCCAGGGCACAGAAATGTCATGCTTGGCTTTGCTGAGCACAGTGAATTGCCAACTACCACAGCCTGGAATCTGTGCTACTTCATAAAGAAAATTTTAATAATTTGCATTTACAACATTCAGAGAAACATCACAATTACACAGTAAAAGCTTAAGTATCTAGGAAGTTCCTGTAGGTCATGACAGCCTAAGTAAGTTTAATATTGAATGTTAAGTCAGTGATATAAACCATTCTAAATACAGTCCATTTACAATTTCAGACACGCTCAAAGCACTAGTGGGAATTTTGTTCTCAAAATTTGCCTAGTAGACAAGACCCAAGAGTCAGGAAGTGGCAAAGCTGTTGTTCTCAGCCCAGGAGGCAGCAAGAAAAAAGACAATTGCTGAGTCAGACAGAATTTCCCCTGAGGACTCTGGCTGCAGACCAGCCTCTGGAAGACCTGCCAGCTCACCTAAGGGTAAAAGCAAAGATTTTAAAAAGCCAATATAGCTCGTAAAGAGAGAAACTAAATTTTGGCATAGCTTTTTTAGGTATTTTAAGGTAGGTCTATGGCAAGGAAATATATGGAATCTTAGAACATCTGTATGCACAGTTTGTATAGTCTTTCCAGCCTCAGCCACTGGTGACATAGCCAAGAGCTCTGAGTGCTGCTCGGCTGAATGCTGCTGTACCTGCTACTGTTACCATGGGAATGGACACTGGCAAAAGTAGGATTAGAGCTTTAAAGTAATTACCAATATAATTAGCACTTTCACCTTTTCGGAGATTGCATCCCCAACAGCTCCCAAATACTGAAATAATCCAATTCAGGCTCATCAATATAACAATTAGTGTCTAAACAGGCATCAGTTAACATGATCAATGTGGGAACGATGCACAAAAGGAAGGCATTCTTGGAGCCTGGAAGCAGTGGGTTCCTGTGGCCTTCTTTGCTTATTACTAATAAGGAACTCTGCTTCTTTGCTATGAGTCACTGTTCCAGTTTCATCCTTAATTAATTCAGTGTCAAAAGAAAGGGTACTAAAGTGAAGAGAAGCTCCCAGAGATGGCTCAATGAAATTTGCAGAAGAGGGGGAGGGACAGAAATCATGATAGAAACAAAATTTGAGATCATAGGAAGAAAACTGGTGGAGAAATCTAAGTACAGTGTTTCTTATTACACTGCAACTGCCTGAATGAAATACCTACACAAAATAAAGCTCGTCAGAGCAGTGCTACCAAGTCCCTATGTATGACTCTTTTATCCAGACAGTGAGTGCATCAGTTAGTACACTGTGATCTGCAATGATTTCTACAAAATGGCAAAAGCCTTCAAAGGTGTCTCAGTGTTTCCAGAAACATTTTTAACTATGGAGGGTCAGAAGGGAATTTTGGAATTTGGTACAATTTTAGGCTTCTTCACTTCTTCCACAATAGCCTGCTTGTATTCAGGTTGAATACAGAACTCACCTTCAGTGACCAGTGAAGTGACTCCTTGCATAATTATCACTGCTTCTAAAAACATTAACATTTGGCTGGGTACAGCCTGAAAAGTTTTGGCTGTGGTTATTTAGCAGAAAAAGACACACTTTCAGAAGGAACTGATGAACACCCTGAAGAAAGCTAGGGAAAGATAGTAAGAACAATTTTGTAGATTTACTGACTTACTAGTGGATATTGAAAACCTCTAAACACATATTTGTTATTAAAAAAAAAAAAAAAGAAAAAAGTACTAATTACCTCTGTTCATCCCATACTGTTCTTCCAGGCTGCCTTTGGGTAGGGCTGGGCAGCAGAGCCAAGCTCCAGGCAGAACCTGTGAAATGAAGCTGCGTCCCTGGGGATGTCTTTTGTGCAAGTCCTACTTGTTAGTGCGTTCATATCCCCCAGTCTGTTCCCTCTGAGTGTCTTGTTACTCAGGCATTATCACACAGTCTGGTCACTACACAGCAGAGCAAATAAAGTGTCTTTGTCCCTCCTATCCCCCATCAGTGATGTAAGGTAGCACAGTGAACTTTCACTTTGTTGGCTAAATATAGGGGAGTACAGGGTGGGGGGCGGAATGCGTTGCTTTAAGCTGTGTGTTGTACAGCTGTTTCTCAGGTATCTGGATTTTCAGGACCTTTTAACATGTCAAGTAATTTTCTTCTACTTATTCAGGGCAGGAGTTTTTTTGTAAGGACACTGAGATCCAAAGTTGCTGTTATTCTTCAACAAAATGCCACTGAGACAAAAGATTCTACCATCTAGATGGATTTGTCATAGTCCATCTCCCTGCCTACTGCTGTTAAATGTTTTCAAATGAGTGTGAAGTTAGGCCAAGTTCTTCCACTAAGGGCAAAACATTGCTGTGGGTGGAACCCTTCTCTGCTTTCCCCATGACTACATAGACCTAACTGGCTGGACGGCTTCCTTACAATAGAGCACCCTTGAGACATTTGTGCATGTGAAAGACACACATTTTATCATGGCTCATTTCAGAGAAGACTGAGGCTTTTTCCCAGAAATTGAGGTAGGTAGAGGTAAGAGTGGTGAAGATCACCTATGTGGAGGGAACTGTCATGCCATGTGACTGTGTGTCAGGAGGTGCTGTGGCTTCTAGGCACTGAGTTTTGCTCCAACACACAGTTTGGAGATTTTCCAAAATCATGCTGTCTGCTCCAGACGCTCCAAGATGCTTCCAAAATTCCTAGGCTCCCCAGCTGCTATCCAGAGCCCTCCCAAATAGCTCTCATTCCCCAGAAAAACAAAGCAGCCAAAGCCCTCAGTAACAGCTTTACTTTCTTCACAGTCTACTGCCAGATTTCTTCACTAACTAGCTTTAAAAAGTTAAATAGATAGAGAAAACCCACTGATACCTGCATTAGTCAAGTAACTGTCTTTAGCTGTAAGAGGGTCACAGCTGATACAACCACAGTGCATTTTGTCGGCCAGCACAGTTACACCACACTGAGTTTCAAGGCAAATATGCAAAGTGAGGAGGTGCTATAATTAAGGTACATAAGGTTAGGAGGTGCATAATTATGTTCAACCATAATTACACCATTGGTGACTGTGCTTTATGATACAGTCTTCAATTACATGACCACCTCCTTTCTTTTCCCTATTGGATCTGTGCCTGTATCAGGACTGTCAACATGGCACAGTGCTGCAGGACTGCCCAAACTGCTATTAAACATTCCATTTAACACACTGGGAAGTGCAGTAATATTTGCATTGCATTCTGTTCAGGACACACTACCTTCTTTTGTGATAGAGATGTCTGAGGCATAGGAAGTCTGAGCTCAAAGATTAAAATGTTCTCATGCAGATTTGAAAAAAAATCCAGATTTGCATGTCTGTTGCATATTATTAAAGCCTGTATTTATACATAACTTCTGATATGCAGCATTTTTATGAGCTGTTTTCTTAACTATAGGATAAGAAGCTACTTAACAGGACTGCATTTTTTCACACAAAAGGCCTTATCCAGCCTCAGTTTCTGCAGTAAAATTATTACTGACTAAAATGGGAGTGGGGTCATGCCTCTGGCACCTGCCTCACTCCAAACAAAGCATTCAGCCAAACCAACAGGAAAAACTGCAAGGGTAATTTCTCAAATCACAGCACCAATACACACACATAGTGTGACAGACTGGAAGGGCATTACTATTGCTTACACTGAAAGAGTGAGCTGGCTCTTCAGATATATCTGGGACATCTTTGTGCGTTCACTCTGAAAAGCAGAGCACAGCACTCATCTTTTACAGGCACTCACATGTCAGTATCATGAAGAAATATTTATACCGTGAACAGCTAACAGCAATCTTTCATAATTGCTTATTAGCATTTCTATATTTCTGAAGCATGGTAGAATCATAGTTTCAGTGATACTTTGTAATGCAATGGCAAAACAGAAGTATAGCTATTCATAATTTTAGCATCTCTGTCTGAAATAAATTATCTATACAGCAACTATATTGGTGGTACTAAAACACAGTCCCAAGTGACAGGCTAACCAAAATCTGATTTTTGAAAAGACACTACTAAACCATAGGTCTCCTTATAACATAAAACTCTAGAATAAAAGTGTTCTTGAAATTTAATGATTACATGCATCAAGTAAAGCATACAAAGACTTATTTTGCTTTAATTAACAGTGTAACTATCTATCCTATGAAATAGGAAGAACTGCAGAAGGAATTAAAAATATGCATCTATCAAATAAATATGTAAAAGAGGAACAAACTTACTAAGGGAGTCCAAAAAAGAAAAAAACCCCCATATTTCAGAATTATTTTCTTTCTATTTGCTGTGATCAACCTGGAAAACCATTCTACAAAACAACTCAAGTGAGGCTACTTGCTTTCCTCCAGCTGAGCACTTGGCATGGCATTCTTGGCACCACAAATTCCATCAATAAATCTCAGTAAGATTTTTGGCAGCAGGAACAGAACTATTTCTACCTTTCTTTTATCACACTGGACAACCCAGAGCTGTTATAGCTCAGTGTCCCTGGAAAAACTGGAGAAGGTTTTTTGATGTATTACATTACACTAGGATAAATAAGATTAAAGATCTTATTATATTATCTGGAAACAAAACAAGTGTTTCAATCAAGTTGTATTCCCTTCCCCCATCATCGCACAGCAATAAATATTTTAAATTTCAATCTGTTCGTTACATCCTGTTTATAA